CTACTTTGGTAAGTAGCATCTGGGGTCTTAAAAGCTTGTGAGTGGCCGTCTAAGATACACTTATTGGATCCAGCACTTTCGTAGCAAAGGAGAATGAAGAAAATCAAAGACACAGGAAGATATTAGTCCAATGGACTAACGGACCACATGAACCACAGCCTCCACCAACCAGAGCCCAGAAGAACTAGAAGGTGCCCAGCTACCACCACCAACCACTCTGATGGCGAGCATAATAGAGGGTCCTGGGCAGAGGGGCAGAAAAATGCAAAAAAAATTCAAATTCACCAAAAAAGACCAGACTTACTGGTCTGATGGTGACTGGAGGAACCCGAGACTATGGCCCCCAGACACCCTGTTAACTCAGAACTGTAGCCACCCCTAAAGTCCACCTTTCAGCCAAAGATTACACAGGCCTATAAAACAAACAACAACACATGTGAGGAAAGTACTTCTTAGTTCAGTCAAGCATATGAGACCAAATGGGCAACACCTGCCCAAAAGCAAAGACAAGAAGGTAGGAACGGACAGGAAAACTGGATAAATGGACACGGAGAGCCCAGGGTGGAAAGGGAAAGGGGGAGAGTGCTGACACATTGCAGGGATTGCAACCAAGGTCACAAAACAATTTGTGTATAAATTTTTTGAATGAGAAACTAATTTGCACTGTAAACTTTCACCTAAAGCACAATAAAATAAATAAATAAATGCTTTTTAATAACATCCATTTCTTTAAACAGCTATTCTCATACAATGCTATTGGGATCATAAACTGGTAAAACTATTTGAAAGTATCACAATTTTAAATATAAATACTCTTAATTAAATATTTCCACTTCTAGGAATTTACCCCCAAAATAAATTTGAATAAATGGTCAAGAGAGTACAGCACTAGACATAAAATGGATGCCTCAAAGTTCTGATTATTCAAAGGAAACTAACGGCCGAAAGCCAAACGGAACTTTCTTCTGAGTCATTGATAAGAAAAGGAAAATGTAAATCACATTTATATTTCTTCTCATCATATTTCAGCCCTAGTGTGGTAGTTAATAATAATACTTTATTAACGGCTGTGTACCTTTGAATACACCACGTTTCCAAGGAGATACGTGGACAACATATGGAGCTACATTATCAGGTTCTATGGTCATGTCTGGACATCCCCACACTATTGGAAGATCTGAAGTTACCTAAAAAAAGATAATTCAATAACAAGAATTATATAATGTCAACATTTACATAAATTAGCCAAATTACATTAAAATCTGAAATTTAAATACTTTCATTAAAACGATTCACTTTTAGATGAATAGAAAGCCCAGAAAAATGCTACATACGGTAGGAAAACAATCTGAGTGGAGACCTATGAAAAAATAGAAACGATTCTTACAAAAATAATCAATGTTTATTTAATATTTCTACTTGTAGCAAGATCTCTGATGCTTAGAAAATCTGAAAAAAACTTTATAGGCAATGTACAATATTATATATAACAATTTGATTTATAAAAGAAATGAACCATTTCAATAAATGTCTACATGAGTATTAAAATAGCATATAAAAAACATATAAGCAGCATTTGACCACCAAAAAAAAAAAATTGCTATCGAGGTGATTTCCACTTATGGCGATATGGTTTGTACTTGGCCCATTGGTTAAGCACTTGGCTGCTAAACTAAAGGTCTGCAGTTCAAACCCACTAGCCACTCAGTGGGAGAAAAGACATCACGACCCGCTCTCGTAAAGATTACTGCCTAAGAAACCCTACGGGGCAGTTCTACTCTGTCCTATAGGGTCACTATGAGTCAGAATTGACTTGACGGCACACAGCAACAACTAACCTAAAGGTTGACGGTTCAAACCCATCCAGCGGCACTGAGGAAAAAAGGCCTGGCAATCTGCTTCTGCAAAGATTACAGCCAAGAAAACCTTATGGAGCTCAGTTCTACTCTGTAACACATGGGGTCAACATAAGTCCATGTGACCACACACACACACACAGGAAAAAAAAAAACAAACTCGTTGCCTTCCAGTCGGTTCCGACTCATAGCAACCCTATAGGACAGTTTGGTGGATTCGAACTGCCGACCTTTTGGTTAGCAGCAGAGCTCTTAACCACCACCCACCAGGGCTCTCTCTGTTTGACTACAAAACCAAAAAACCAAACCTGTTGCCATAGAGTCAATTCCGACTCATAGCGACCCTATACGATGGAGTAGAACTGCCCCGTAGGATTTCCAAGGAGCGGATGGTGGATTCTAACAGTTAACCTTTCGGTTAGCAGCCAAACACTTAATCACTGTGCCACCAGCACTGGTTAAATATAGTTTTCTGCTTACTAGGTGGTTACATCTTTCTCTTCCCTCCAGGCAAACAATAATCTATGACTCTATACATTGGCCTATTATGGACATTTCCTAGAAATGAACTCATACAGTAAGTGGACCTTCTGTGGCTAACTTCTTTCACTTAGCATAATGTGTTCAAGGCTCATCCATGTTGTATTATGTATCAATACATCATTCCTCTTTATTGTTAAATAATATTCTATTGTATGATATCCCACATTTTGTGTATCCATTCATAAGTGATGGATATTTGGGTTGTTTCCACTTTTGACTCTTATGAATAAGGCTGCTATGAAAATTCATGTACAAGGTTTTATGTAGACATAGGTTTTTGTTTCTCTTGGGCATACTTAGGAGTGAAATCACTGGGTCATGTGGTAACTTGATGTTTAACCTTTTGAGGAACTGCCATAATGTTTTTGAAAATGTCTACACCGTTTTTATTCCATGCCAGCAATGTATGAGGGTTTCTATTACTCCATAAACCAAAAACTATATATCTTCCCCCAAATATTTTATTTCCTGTCTTTTTTATTTTAGCCATCTTAGTGGGTATGAGATGCCCTGATGGCGCAGTGGTTAAGGGCTTGGCTGTTAAACAAAAGGTTGACAGTTCGAATCCACCGGCCACTCCTTGGAAACCCTATGGGGCAGTTCTACCCTGTCCTACAGGGTTGCTATGAGTCGCAGTCAACTTGCTGGCAATGGGTTTGTTTGTTTTTTTTTTGTTTTAGTGGGTGTGAAGTGGCATCTCATTATGGTTTGGGTTTGCATTTCCCTACTGACTAAGGATGTTTCCTGGGAATGTACACAACCCTACACATGTATGCCACAACTCTGCACATGCATGCAGCATGCTTGACACCCAAGGATATGTCAGAGCTTTTCAAAGCCCCCTAAGGACACCTCATTCCCCAGATCTTTCTTTCAAGTTTTTGGCAAAACTCTTATTGGCCCCAACTGTTTGTGCAGCCTCAGGCAACTGTGATGTTAAACAATTCCTGCTTAATGTTTTTTTACAAATACCCTGAACATAGTGCTTTTTACCATTGCCATAAAATGGAGCCCGGGTGGCTCAGTGGTTAAGCACTTGGCTGCTAATCAAAAGGTTGGCAGTTGGAACCCACCAGCTGCTTCATGGGACAAAGACATTGCAGTCAGCTTCCATAAATATTACAGCCTTGGAAACCCTATAGGGCAGTTCTACTCTGTCCTATAAGGTCCCTATGAGTTGGAATCAACTCAACAGCAATGGGTGGGTACCACTGCCATGAGTCTGAATCGATTCCATGGCAACTCACGACAATAACAAGCTCTGATACAAATCAAATAATGACATTGTTTCTGCTGTTGTTGTGTACCCTCAAGTCGATTCCAGCTCCTACCAACCCTCTAGGACAGAGTAGAACTGCCCCATAGGGATACCTAGGCTGTAATCCTTATGCGAGCAGATCTCCAGGTCTTTTCTTCTGCAGAACGTCTGGAGGGTTTGAAAAGCCACCCTTTAGATTAGCAGCCAAGTGCTTAACTACAGGTCACTCTGAGTCAGAATCAACTCAATGGCACAAAATAACACAACAACATTTTCTACTACTTTGTTGCTGTGATAAAATCCCATAGCATTTTACATGTCTCCATTATGCTTTCTGATTTTTTATTTCATCTTTCATATTAAGGAAGTCCTAACCTCCTATTTCAAATGATTCTTGTAATGGTTAGTCAAAATCTATGTAAACAGGCTGTTAAAAAAAATACAAAATATGAAAGTGGATACTTGGCAGCAATGAATAACGGAAAAAGGAAAATATCTGAGACTATACTGAGCTTGAGTTGGTAGCAGAATATCAAAATGGAAATGTATAACAAGCAGTTGAAAATGAGGGGCTGGAGCTTATAGATACATTTTGAGTAAAAGTATGGATTTGGGATTTGAGCCTAGATGATACTTTGAAGCCAGGAAACTGCCAAGTGGGATAATGTACAGACATAAGAATGCTTTTAAATGTGGCAACTTGAAAAGATATCAGATGGCTAGAGAAAGAAAAGTAGCAGAGAAGGAATGGTTAAGAAATGATAGGGAGACAGGGACTATAGAATGTAATATACTGAAGAGTGAAAAATGTTAAGACAGCAGGTCAACAGTGACATAGAGGAGTTGTGAGACAGATAACTTGGGGAAAGAATGGATATTTCTTGACTAAAAAGTCATGGCGATCTTTGACGCAGCAGTTTCAACAGAGTCCAAAACCAAAATCAAACCCGTTGCCGTCGAGTTGATTCTGACTCATAGCAACCCTACAGGGCAGAGTAGAACTGCCCCATAAGGTTTCCAATGAGTTGCTGGTGGATTTGAACTGCTGATCTTTTGGTTAGCAGCCGAGTTCTTAACCACTGCACCACCAGGGATTCTTCAACAGAGTAGGGGAGCTAAAAATGCACCACCATAAGATAAGTGACCATGTGAATATTGCTCTTTCAAGAAGTTTAGCAATCATAGGAATTAAAGAGATTAATAGTTGAAGAGAGTATAGTCAGAGAAAAGTTTTCTTTTGTGATGGAAAAATTGTGAATATTTATAGGTTAAGATTTCATTTTACTTCCACAATCAAAACCCATGGAAGCAGCAGTTAAGAAATCAAACGACACATTGCATTGGGCAAATCTGCTGCAAAAGACCTCTTTAAAGTGTTAAAAAGCAAAGACATCACTTTGAGGACTAAGGTGCACCTGACCCAAGGTGTTTTCAATAACCTCATATACATGCGAAAGCTGGACAATTAATAAGGAAGACCACAGAAGAACTGACGCCTTTGAATTGTGGTGCTGGCAAAGAATATTGAATATACCATAGACTGCCAAAAGAACGAACAGGCCTGTCTTGGAAAAAGTACAACCAGAATGCTCCTTAGAAGCAAGGATTGCGATACTACGTCTCACATACTTTGGACTGTTATCAGGAGGGACCAGTCCCTGGAGAAGTACATCATGCTTGGTTAAGTAGAGGGTCAGTGCAAAAGAGGAAGGTCCTCAATGAGATGGACTGACACAGTGGGTGCAACAATGGGCTCAAGCCTAACAACGATTGTGAGGATGGTGCAGTGTTTCGTTCCGTTATACACAGGGTCGTTATGAGTCTAAACCAACTTCACGGCACCTAACAACAACATAGGTTAAGGGAAATAATCTAATGAAGATTAATGATATTGTTATTAACAATGAAGAAGAATTCCACTTCTTCATTAAATTGGATAAATATAATTAGAATATATAATTATTCTTTTTTAAAGATCTACATTCAAAAAATACATTTATTCCTGAAGAGTAAAATAACAAAAAACCATAGGAATCATCTTTGTCATTGGCAATAAAATGAAATAATCAGTGCTATGAAATTAAGAGTTCCTCTGTGGTGCAAATGGTTAAGTGTTCAACTATTAACTGAAAGGTTGGCAATTCGAACCCACCCAGATGCACTTGGGAAGAAAGGCCCTGTGATCTACTTCCAAAAGGTCACAGCCTTGAAAACTCTATGGAGCACAGTTCTCCTCTGACAGACATGGGGTTGCCATGAGTCAGAACTGACTCAACAGCAACTGGTTTGATTTTGTTTTTTTATGAAGTTACGGATTTTACTTTAGCCAGTTTGCATCGAACTCATAAGACAAGTTTGTTCCTTGCTCACCAGTAAATTCTGGAAGATGAAAGGGAGTGGTAAAGATTTACTTTCTCCTTATTTATGGCACATCCAAGCAGTCAAGACTTTTTTTCTCTAACCTTTCTTTCTTTTAAAACACCACCCATTATGCTTTTATCTTTTTATTAAACAAATTTTCCTTGAAAAACCATTATGTGTCCCATACTATGATTTATGCTAGGTATAAAAAAGTGGATAAGAGAGGTATATTCCTGTTCTCACAGTTTATAATCTTGTAGGGAGATAATAAACAGGCAATAGCAATGTGATATGTGGTAGGTACAATGGTTGGACAGGTTTTAAAAAATGCTGTGGAAGCACATGAAAACATCTAATCCAGGTTCAGGGCAACAGGGAAGTATTCTTGGAGAAACTAGCATCAAACCTTGCCCTAAAAGATGAATAGGAGTTAGACAGACTCAGAGAGATAGAAAGCCGGGGCTTGGGGCAGAGAAGTCCAGGCAGCAGGAAAAGTAAATACTCTATACAAAGGCCTAAGTGTTGCTGGACCCAGGTGTGTCAAGAGATGAAGCAGAAGAGATAAGCAAGAACAAGCTATTGTAAACTACTTCAGTGGGTGTGGACTTGATTCTGAAGGTAAAGAGATGACTTTGAACTGTTTTAGCAGGGGAGTGACAAGATGCGATTTGTCTTTGGAATATTCATTCCATTTGCAATCTTGTAAGGAAAAAAGAAAATTATGGCACATATTTCTCAAGATTACAAAAAAAAGAAAGAAAGAAAACAGAGGGTAAATCCAGTGAGCTTCCAAATTTCTGCAGTCCCTTCTAAAAACTGAATTCAGGCACCTATGAAGGGTAGATGTTAAGCTTTGTTCAAGGAACCTATTGGGCACACAACAATTTTAGATACAGATGGAGGTGGAGAGTTAAAAAAAAAAAAAGCCAGGATTTGCTTAAACAAAAGGTGAGAATTGTCAAGTACAAAACTTAATAAAGATAAAGGTGCAAGTAAGTATGCATTTCTTCATATTCCTACTATTATTCACACTGGTAAATGATCGTATAGGCTTTTGAAATTTTGTTGTGCCAAAAGATTTCACATTAAAATATTTAAAGCTGTTTCTAAATTTCTTGAAAAAGCCTTTTATAATTATGTAAAAGTTTTCAAATGAAAATACACATGACTCAAACAAGTGGATTTTAATGTGTTTTAGATACGTGTTTTATGTGTGGATTTTAATGTGTTTGAGTACTTAGATATGGAACTTGGTTGGTACTAACTCAATTTTATAATTGAAATGAAATATAATAGCTGTTGGACCAACTGTAATCCTAATACTCCCCAGCATAGTTTCTCCTTTTCAAAATGGGCGACTGAGAGCTTGACATAACTAACGCCATGATGAACCTCTAAGTTTTTTTTTTGTCTTTTTTTTTCCTTTGCCTTCTCCTTTTCGCATACCTTTGTTAATGACTTGGTTTTGCTCTGTCTGGCCACCTGTGGCTTAGGACCCATCACAGGAAGATTAGAGCCCAGATGTCAGATATGGAAATGTCTGGCAGGTATCTCGTTAGTATGATAGTCTCTTGTAATTACCTTACAGTGTGTAACAACACTTTTTACCTTTGTAAAGATCACATATAAATTCTAGTGTAAAAATGCCTTTTGGGACTCCACAGAGACAGCCTGCGTTGCTGTCTGATCCCCAGTGGTGTACACCTCCTAAAATAAAACTTTCTCACTCTTTCTGACTTGGAGTATGTTTCATTGGCTCGACTGCTCCAGGGCACGGACCCTATTCAGGTAAAACTAATCAACAGAATTACAGACATCACCTTATGTGACATTGCTTCCCCTAATTAAGTAAAATTAGATGTCTTCAGAATTTCATATAATTCGATATACTCCTTCTGAAAACACTTTGACGCTAAAACAAAACAAAAACTTACCTTATATGTTCTGATAGTCTTTGTATAATTGGGCACCATTATGGGCCTATTAACCATGTCTCCCACTCGGCAGTTTACAACGATGTGTTCCAAGGCCAGAGGTTGTCTTCCAATGCCTTTTAAGTCAAAGATGTGCTCCATACCATTTGCTTCATTTTGTAGAATAAGTTTGCCCTGTGAAAAAGTAGCCACATTTCAGCTCTATAGAAGTCTTTAGCTGGATGTCAAACAACCTCTCCTATCCTATTAATCTTGAGTCTGGTTAATAAAATGAGCTTGCAAGGAGGTGTTAGCCCTTAACTTTTCCAATTCATGTATAAATGCTTTTACTAAGTTAATAAAGAAAACTTCTGATGAAAAGACTTTTTTTCTTTATCTAAATTATAGAGTTTACATAGGCATTCTCATACATAACCAAAAAACCAAACCCACTGCCTTCGAGTCGATTCCGACTCACAGCGACCCTATAAGACAGAGTAGAACTGCCCATAGGGTTTCCAAGGCTGTAATCTTTATGGTAGCAGACTGTCACATCTTTCTCCCACGTACTCACTGGTGGGTGCAAATCGCCAACCTTTTGGTTAGCAGCTGAGCGCTTTAACCTTACTGCACCACCAGGGCTCCTTATTGCCATACATAGCAATTATATGTGTGCTTACTTCTTTGACAAAGAAATATGTCTTGCAAGAAAATATTTGCCGATATACCACGTTCTTCAATGACTAGAACAAAAGGAGCAATGATTCTACTTTGTTTTGCATGTTGTGTAAAAATAAGCTGGATATTAAGTACTGACAGCCAGTGGCATTTCAAGTTTCAGAATATTTACCCCTTAAGTTAAAACATTTATTGAATTTCAAGCAAATTCTTAATTTTTAAATTTGTGGAAAATATAACTTTATTGCAAAAAATGTTTTATCATCAATTATACATAGGTTAATATCATACATTGCATTATTAACATATTAACAATGGTAAAAATATCAATGAGTTCATACCATAATCTCACACTCCAAAATAGGTTTGAATGTGAGAGGATATTGCACAGTTTCTCCTGGCGCGATATATAAAACGGAAGGTCCATAAAACCATTTTCCTTCTATAGTAACTTGACATTTCCATTCATTCTTTGTTTTATTACTCTAAAGCATGAAAAAAGATAGTAGAAGAGTATCATATAGAAAGTGAATTACATATTACTTCTTGCTAGTTTTAACAAAATTACACATTATTTTACTTCTTAAGAATCATCATTTGAAAGTTATATTTGTTAAAGACTATCGACAACCTGAACATAAGGAAAAAGGATGACTGCATGTCCTTTCAATGTCATATAGGAGCACTGCCTAATAGGCCCATGCATGTATTATTTAATATCTAGGGGAATGTCGCTTTGTTTGGCTTACTAATTACTGTTAAAATGACAAAATGGCCTTGGAGTACTCATTCTACTCCTAATCAGAGGTAACAGAAGGTGTTCTGCTTGTGTAGACAGTTCAGATAACAAAGGTACTATATCTCATCAGAACAACTTTCTGTGCTTTTGGTTGACTTTGTCATATCCTTAATAAACAAACAAATAAGAACAAACAGTTTCTCACTCTAAAACATCCAAAGTTCCTTACAATTATGTTAGCTTTTTCTATGCTGTATTGTCAGTTTGACTAACTGGTAGCCAAACTACAGCCAGTCATTGTTCTCAGTGCCTGTGATCCCCTCTTCATCAAGTGATAAGGTCAGAACAACTGTGGAGCAAAATGATCTAAGAATCTGTAACTCTGCTTGGTGGGGCCAGAAGGACATGGCTTTTTACTAGGAAATTGATGATGCATAAAGGAAGCTGGAGTTAATGTTTTAAGCAACGAGATCCAGCAGAAGTGATTAATCAGGTGAATAACATGACATCATTTATATTCAGGAAGAAAATTCTGATATCAATTGAGAGAAACAATTGGTGGCAGATAATACAATTAGAAATCTGTGCTAGTTCAAGATGAGAAATTTGGAGAACTTTAACTGAGACATTGGTAGTGGGAATGAAGAGAATGCACCAAAAATAAAAAATGTTCACTTACTATTGGAATACTCTGGGTAACAGCTTCAAATGCTGGTGTGGAAAACTCTAATTTGGCTTCTGCGTGTTCTTCATTCACCACACCTTCGATGCAATAGACACGGACATCATACTTTGATGTCAACAAAATTTTACAAGGGTATCGTCCAGGACTGAGAGGAACAAATCGTAAAGGAAATGGAACATATCCATCTGGAGCTATCAAAATTAAAAAAAAAAAAAGTTTAATTGCTTTTTAACGTCATAAAAATCTAAAATTCGTTTTGGTAAAACACTATTTAATGTTATTGTATTAGTTAGAATAGACTAGTTTATACTGATGTAACACACCATCCCCAAATTTCCATTGCTTATTAATACACAAGTTTATTTATCAATCACAGTACTTATCCTCCATAGGTCAGACAATTATCTCCTCCATAAAGTTACTCCGGGACCCAGGATGTGAAAAATGCTGCTATCTTGAAGTCGCATCATCAGGAACATGTCTTGGTTGAGAAATCAGGGAAGCAGGTATGGCTGGAAGGTTGCTCAAAGGCTTGGCCCAAAGGTGAAACATATTGCATTTAATTGGCCAGAAACAGCTACATGGCTCTACCTAACCAAAAGGGGGCTGAGAAATGGGGGGATATATGAAATACTTGGTAAGCATTACTGACTGCCACTTTCCTATGACTTAGGGGTGGGCTTTCTCCAGATCAGAGCCCTGGTGGCATAGTGGTTAAAAGGTTGGCTGCTAACCAAAATGTCAGCAGTTCGAATCCACCAGCTGCTCCTTAGAAACCCTATGGGGCAGTTCTACTCTGTCCTACAGGGTCGCTATGAATTGAAATCGACTCGACAGCAACGAGTTTGGTTTTGGTTTTGTCTCCGTATCAATTAAAATAATTTGTAACTTGCCCACCAGAAAGAAATAATTTTATTCATGGTTAATAAATAAGAGAAGCAGAAAGAGGCATGCCCAACTAATTCTTCTCATATCACCTCGTTATTACATTTACTTTAAGCTAATAGCTAGTATCATTTTTATGCTGGACTGGCTATCTGCTATTTTGGTTATCTGTGCTAGTCCTTTCCTTTCAAATAACACCATTTTTTCTCTGAAGGTCACCATTTTCTTATTCTGATACCACTCCTATTCAACACTGCACAAAATGTCTTAGGTAATACAGTAAAATAAGAAATATAATTAAAAGGTATAAGAATTATAAAGAAAGTGAAAAAAGTCATTGTTTGAAGACAAAATAATAGACTACATACAATGTATCTTTGACTATACAAAGAATTCATTAGACTTTATAAGAGCCTTTAGCAGCACTGCAGAAATATTACTAATGTAAAATTAACGAATTTTCTGTATGTTAAAACCAAAACCAAACCAAACCCATTGTCGCAGAGTGGATTCTGACTCATAGTGACCCTACAGGACAGAGCAGAGCTGCCCCATAGGGTTTCCAAGCAGCAGCTGGTGGATTTGAACTGCAGAGCTTTTGGTTAGCAGCCAAGCTCTGAACCACTGCACCACCAGGGCTCCTTCTATATGTTAGCAACATTAAAATAACATGTAATGGTAGAATATAATTTATATTAAAATATTTAAAATTCTGTAAGATAACCTAGTAATAAGCCTACCTTATTTATGTATCTATTTATGCAGAAAATATGAAAAGCTATTGAAATACCTAGAACATATCCAGTGACACAAAAACTTTTACCATATTCATGAATAGAAAGACTTAGATATTGAAATAATATAAATTCTTCACAAGTTAAAATCTCTCAGTACAAATCACAGCCAGATTTGTTGCTATTTTTTTTTAATTTTACAATCAAACTGATTATAAATGTCTGTAGAAGAACAAATGGTGTAGAACAACTAAAGCAATTCTGATTAAAAAAAGAACAAAGGATGGCTTTCCTTACCAGATTTTGCTACTTCCTATGGAGCCCTGGTGGTGCAGTGGTTAAGTGTTTGGCTGCCAACCAAAAAGTCGGCTGTTTGAATCCGCCAGCTACTCCTTGGAAACACTATGGGGTAGTTCTACTCTGTCCTATAGAATCGCTATGAGTTGGAATCAACTCAATGGCAATGAGTTTTTTTAGGTTATTAAACTGTAGTAATTAAAATAGTATGTTGTTAGAGGCAGGAAGATTATTGCAACTGAATAAAGAGCCCAGAAGCAGACCCAAACATTTAAAAAGCACATCATGGTTATATATGGTTTATAGATAGATAATATATCATCATGTAGAAACGTGGGCTGGAAAATCACACTATACACATGAGTGTTTTGTCTCTGGGAAGCCAAGAAGTGGTAGGAAATGGGCTTGCAGATGGGAACACAGAGTACATAAACTTTTATATATTTAAAGGGGAAGAATTAAAAAATCTTAACATTTGTTAATTCTGTTCGAAATATATGGTGTTTCTTTTATCTTTCTTTGTAATTTCCTATAAAAAATAAAAGGATAGTGATTCTCCAGAAACTAATTTCAAACAAAATGCAACAGCATTTCTTTCACTTGACAAAGTGATTCTTCTGAAATAATAAATAAGCTACAAAGTCAAGTGCACATAATAAAAAAACTAATTGTAGCAATGTGTATTACATACACTGCTATTAAAAATTAGATATTTTTTCTCTTATATTTCAAAGCATCTTTTATTAGTTTGAAGGACTTTTAAATAATGATCTTAAATCCAGCTATTTTATGAAATGTGTTTTTTTTCTTGAATTTTCTAGATATTTAATCAAAAAATTATAAAAAATAATTTTGATTCTTCTTTTCTATTAGTAATTCCTCTTTTTTTCTATTTGCATTTTTTCATCAACTCATATGCATGTGAAAGCTGGACAATGAATAAGGAAGATCGAAGAAGAATTAATGCCTTCGAATTATGGCATTGGTGAAGAATTATTGAATATACCATGGACTGCCAAAGGAACGAACAAATCTGTCTTGGAAGAAGTACAGCCAGAATGCTCCTTAGAAGCGAGGATGACGAGACTTCATTTCATTTGGACATGTTATCAGGAGGGAGCAGTTCCTGGAGAAGGCATCATGCTTGGTAAAGTAAACGGTCAATGAAAAAGAGGAAGACTCTTAACAAGATGGATTGATACAGTAGCTGCAACAATTGGCTCAAAGACAGCAACAGTTGTGAGGATGGCGCAGGACCAGGCAGTGTTTCCTTCTGTTGTACACAGGGTCGCTATGAGTTGGAACCAACTCTACGACACTTAACAACAATAACATGCATCCAAACCTTCCAGAACAATAACAAATTCCTCCACAAAGCACTCAGACCACAGTAAGTCATGTACTTCCATAGATCCCTGGGCTTAAGTCCCTAAAAATATTTAACACTGTGTATTTTATCTACTTGGATCAACAATCAATGTTCATGGAAGCAGGAGTCAAGAAATCAAACAACGTACTGCATTTGGAAAGTCTGCCAAAGACCTCTTTCAAGTGTTAAAAAGCAAAGATACCACTTTGATGACTAAGGTAGGCCTGACCCAAGCCACCGTCTTTTCAGTCACCTCATATGTATGTGAAAGCTGGACAATGAAAAAGGGAGACAGAGGAAGAATTGATGCATTCAGATTGTGGCGCTGGAGAAGAATACTGAATATACCCTGGACCACCAGAAGAGTGAACACATAGGTCTTAGAAAAAATATAACCAGAATGCTCCTTAGAAGCAAGGATGGTGAGACTTCGGCTTGCTTACTTTGGACACGTCATCAGGAAAGACCTATCACTAGAAAAGGACAACACGTTTGCTAAAAAGGTCAGCAAAAACGAGGGAAACCATGAGCTGAATTGACATGGTGGCTGAAACAGTGCACTCAATGATCATGAAGATGGTGCAGGACCAGGCAACGTATTTTTCTGTTATACATAGGGTCGCTATGAGCTGGAGCCAACTGGAGGGATACTAACAACAAGTGCATTGTATTTATCTGATTGTCTTTCTCCCCCACTGGCCTAGAAGTTTCTTAAAGCCTGAAATTCTGACTTGTTTACCACTGTCCCCTAATATATTGTCTGCCATAGCATAGACATTGAGTTAATATATTCTGGCTGAACAATGTTGAAATAAAAATAGTTGTATAAGACCTCCTTGTTAAAACAGTCTCTTAAATTTTTGAATATGACTTTGACTAATGAGTTGGGAAAGACTGCATGGAAGGTATGTTTTTTGTTCCCTTGCATTTTCAAAAATATCCTTTCTACTGTGCTATGTATAAATATAATTTTTGAGCCATGGTCTGTTTCTTCCAAGGCTCTTTAGATGCCACTTCATTGTCTTCTAGCATTTTTTTAAAAATATTTTTTCTCTTTTCCTAACTGCTCCTAGAAATAGGAGAGATTTTTCTTTGCCGGGTAGTCAAATATACAGGTTCCAATTGCCCTTTCACTTTGCAGTGATCGCTTAGATCTAAATATGGAGGCAACTTAATTCAAAGCCCTTAGGTCAATTTCCTTTATCAAACGATTATTCATCTGTTAGATGTAGGGAGGATATTTTCTTGCATTCAATAATCTAGGGAAAAAATTGCATTCTAGAAAATCTGTTCTTGTTAATGAGTAAACTCTTATTCTACCAATAACATGCATAACTCCCTCTAAGTTTTCCCATCTCTGTCACCACCACCAGATCTATATACGAGATTCTACACTATCGATAGAATGATGTTCCTGGATATTTCTTCCTATAGTTATAGTCATTTTAAGTCCAGAGGGTTTTTTTCCTCAGGATGGGTGCAAACAGAGAAGAGTTAATAGAGTGCAAGGGTGACAAGAGAAACAGGATGCTGGCCACCTTAGAAATAATTTCCCATACATTCACTCATTTGAAAAATATTTTTCAACACCTATTATGTGCCAGGTAGTATGCGATGGGGAGGCAGCTTTCTGGTTTTCTGGTGGGTGCAGACAGCACATTTCTAGGTATAGGGCAAATAACTGTTTCCTTTTTTTTTTTTTTAACCTAAGTGATATTTGTTTGGGCAAGTGCCAGCATAAACTACTGATTGTGGTTTTCAATCTAGACACTTCAGTAATCAACGGGAATTCCTCCTAGGGTTCATGTAAATGGCTGGCTGTTATCTTTCATTTCCGTTGCTGATAACTTTTTGAATTTCTGCATGTCTTCATTGATCATTTAATGAAAAATTAAGAGAGGATTTA